AAAAAAAAAAAAAAAAAGTAACTGCTCAGTGATTCCTCACTCATGTCGCAGCCAGTGCACCTGCCATCCCTATGATAAACCTTCTGGGGCACAGCCCTGCATTTACCTCTGCAGTACAGACAAAATTTGAGTCAATCTTCACATCTCTGTGGCTCCTTGCCTTTCTGGTCATCATTCCTTGAAGCTTCAGCAGAAGTCCTACAAGCTTTGGGGTCCAGTATAGTCCTGGCATGGTAATGTGTCTGGCAGAATCCCCACTGCCTCTTGCTCTGTCTTCCATGTGACTCTCCACCAGCACCTGCCTTGGCTCTCCCCTTCTGTGACTCTGTGACTCATTTAGGATCTTTTCTGTGTGCTCCCAAACACAGCTGCAGATGCTTTCCAAGGCTATTATTCCCAAGCACCAGGGGTTGTAGCCTGAATATGCCCTGATATTGGTACTTCCTGCAGTGGAAAGAGGCGACAACTTCTGCAACTCCTTGAAAACAATCTTTCCCAAGGCTGCTTCATGACCTTTTACTATGCTTGTGAGGTATATATCTCCTGCAACAAAGTCTATTTTGCTTATTTTTGGCAGAGCTCATGGGGGTACTGAGAGACCTTAATCCCATCAGGGTCAGAGTGAAAAAGAGCCTCAGGAGACATGACAAGTAACTGGGTCACTGGTGGGGTTCTGTGTGGGTGGGGAAAGGACATTAAGGGAAAGTGGATGAAGTGTGGACTTCAATTAGTAATCATGCATTGATACTGATCCATCTGTTGTGACAAATGTACCACCTACCTCAAGAGAACTTGGGTGGGGGGTGTATGGGAGGGGTTTGTACCATTCTCTCAACTTTTCTACCAATCTAAGAGTTCTGATGTGGAAATCTAAATTCCCACCAAACCCATTGCTGTTGAATAGATTCCAATTCACAGAGACCTTAAAGGTGAGAATAGAACAGATCCGTAAGGTTTCTGTGGCTCTAAGTCTTTAGAGAATCAGAATGTCTCATCTTATTTCCTGTAAGCAGCTTTTGTGTTGGAAACTCTGACCTTTATAATCAGCACCCAGTGCTTAACCTCCTTGTGCCACCAGTGCTTTTAAAAAATAAAGCAATCCTAAAAAGGTGTAAACATAAATCCATGTTTCCACAGGGCTTGGTTTTACACAGGCTCTTAACTGAGTTGTCATGGCAAGGATTTCCCCTAAAGACCTGTCAGCTTGGTTGCCAGGGTCAGCCTATGGGGCATGCAGGTTTCACATTCCCCCACTTATGAGGTCAGTGCCTGGCCTGGGAGCACAGTCCCCAGTCACATTCAGAACCCTGAACATTGAATTGAGTCAGCCTTGGTCTGTGCCCTGTGGGGCTTATTACCTTCAGGTGGGGTAATTACTCTCATGGGCAGCTCTCCAGATGAGGTCTGCAGGAGGGGATGGTCACCAGTTAAAAGGACCATAGCAAAACGCAGGAGCCACCAAATAGCAAGTATGGGCTTTTAGACATAGGTCACATCTCGACTTCCCACCTGAGTAAGATATTATATATCTCCCATGTTAACGTGGAATCATGTTCAGACAAAAATGATTGGGATGCATCCCTTGTATTATTAGTGAAGAGTAATAATGAGTGGTAGCAGCTGTCTATCTGTCTGTCCCTGGTCTTTTGGATTATCTCTCCTAATTTTGTTCTTGATGTGTTTGAGGACACTTTTGTTTTTACTCTGATCTATTTTATTGTGGAAAAAAAATCCCTTAAAAGTGCTTTGCTCATATTTAGTGTTTTTCTATTTCAGTTTGAAACTAAAGTGCTGAAACCTGTCACACATCTGCTGGTTGTGCTGGCCAATCTGTGCATTTGATCTTCCGGTAAGAGGGGAACCAAGCAGGGTGCCTAATCTCCAATGTAGGTTGCAGTCTCTAATATGGGATAGAAGTCACTGACTCAGCAGCGTCCTGCCATCAAGTCTTCTGTGAATCTGGTGAGGAAAGCGAGAGGGTTGGAGTGGCTGAGCCTCTGGTAGACCTTCAGGTGGGTCTGTAGGTATGAGGATCTCAGTCTTAGGGGGTTGAGACCAGTGGAGAGAGAGTGGACATTACTGTTTCATGTATAGGATGTTGGTGGATGCTTGGGGGTTCACATGGCATTTGTCCAATGGATGGGTAATGACAGGGACCCTCAGAGGCAGAGCTCTTGGGTGAACCCCATCTTGCTCCTCAAGGCTCTCTCTCTTTCTGATGACATGGGAGGCTGTGTTGCCCCTGGTCTTGTGCAGGCACAAAGAAGGACCTCAACAATTAACTGAGCAGCAGTTTGATCTGTCAGAAATCCAGAATGTTCCCAATCTTAATCTCCATGAACAGAGTAGTGAGCCCATAGTTCATTGTGTGTGTTGTCTTCTATCTGCATTACATGTGAGGGAGGTAAGTATTCAAAAGGTGCAAAATGGTGAGGACTATGCCTCAGTCAACTCCAAATGCATCTACACCTTGGACTCTCCCAAACTAAGTGGCGTTTGTAATGGCCTTAGCTGAGGGACATTTGATATTGTTGAATTTGACTGCTCTCTGAGTGTGTCCCTGCCCAAACACCCGGGTCTCTGCATTGCTGGGGAGGTCTTGAAACTGTGCTGTGGCTCAGCTTGTGCCCATTCTTGATGGCTCCAGCTCTATACAACCTTGTGCTCCCTTAAGGAATGGGCTTCCTACCAGCCCATGATAACTGGGATACATTTCGAATCAGGGTCGGGGTTCTTGCCTATGGATCCGTTGCTATGGTCATTCCTTTACGAGCGTCCTGGAATTCTTGGAGAGCAGCCTAAAGGGTGTGAAACTGGCTGGATAGTAATACCTGCACCTGAAACACCTGCACAGGTGAGTCTGCAGCTGACTCTGATGGTCCCTCCTTGGCCTGTAGCTCTGGTTGTTAAAGAGTGTAGTGGTCTAGGTGCCCCAGCAGCAACCAAGGCTTTTCTTCCTGTGTTGCAAAGATCAGGCACCTAGTGTGGTGCCTAGGATGACCGGGGTAAAGTCCTGGAATTTAAGAGGCACACTAGACTGGTGAGTCCCTACATCAGGAAGGATATATTCCAAGTTAAAGTGAATACAGGCTCATTCTGTGATCACTGTATAACTGGCTGTGTGCTGCTGGGGACAATCCTCCTGGTTATAAACGGGGAAAGCTGTGAGGAAGAGTTATCATGAGGGCCAGGTGGGGCAGCCTAGGGGAGTCCAAGGTGAGAGATGATTCCCTGACTACCCCAGGATGAAGAGACACATTAATGCCTTGGCTTTGTGCTGTCTTGGTGAAGATGCCAACAAGTCCTGGTGGGTTGTGATCTGATCCTTAGTCTAAGACCACAACACCCATGGTTTTGTTCTTTCTTCTGACCAGGGACCCAAGAGGTTTACTAAGATGTTAGCAGGCAACCAAACATTTGTTGTGGAGTTCACTCTGCAGGGACTCTCAGAAGACCCACAGGTTCGGGCCCTGCTCTCGGTCCTTTTTGTCCTTCTCTACCTGACAGCTATTGTAGGAAACGGCCTCATCATTATACTCATCACTGTGAGCCCAGGTCTGCACACCCCCATGTACTTCTTCCTTGTCAACCTGGCTCTTTTGGACATCATGTGTACAACCACTGTCATCCCCAAGCTTCTGGAGAGCTCATTGATCCAATTGGACACAATCTCCTATCAAGGCTGCTTGGCACAAATCTTCTTCCTGATCTGGTCCCTTGCTTCAGAGCTGTTGTTGCTTACAGTCATGGCGTTTGACCGCTATGTGGCCATCTGTCAGCCACTGCGGTATGGCACCATCATGAGTTGGCCACTGTGTACACTGCTAGCCATAGGTGTGTGGACAATCACTCTAGTCAATACATCCGTGAACACAGGCCTCATGGCACGGCTGAACTTTTGTGGCCCCAACCACATCCAGCATTTCTTGTGTGAAGTCCCTTCACTGCTCTTGCTGTCGTGTAGCTCCACAGTCATAAACAATGTCATGATTATCATGGCTGATATCTACTTCGGTGTGGTCAACTTCATTCTCACGATGACCTCATATGGCTACATCGTGGCTAGCATCCTACGTATCCGCTCAGCTTCGGGCAAGCGCCGAGCCTTCAATACCTGCTCCTCCCACCTCCTAGTGGTCACCTTGTACTATTCCACTGTCATCTACAACTACTTAATTCCTGGCTCTGGTGAAGATAATGCCAAGGATAATGGCAAGGTGGTGACTGTGTTGTACACAGCAGTCAGCCCTGCCCTGAACCCGCTCATCTACACCTTGAGGAACAAGGATGTAAAAGCTGCCCTCCAGAAGGTGGCCCCTGTCTCCTGGTGAGGAAAGAGCATGGCCACATGAATTATTCTTGTGCCAATTCTGTTAATTTCAAAATATGACTTTGATAATCAGAAACAAGAAGTAAATGGCAAGAAGGTAACTAACGTGATGGAATTGCAAAAAGGGAGCTTCCCCTGTCTCAGCTGTCTAGTGATTTACCAGGGACCCTAATGCATTCCTGATTCTGTTTATGTGACCCTGGCTTCTAGATTGGCACCCAGTAGCAATGCCTTATGTGATGGTGTGACTGTCACCTCTTTAAGATGGAGGTCAAGTTTGGTCATGAGGACCTGTGAACACATTACTTTGTGGGCTTCAATGTGGGGATTTCATGACATACTGTTGTGAAGACCTAACCTAGACTAGTTCCTTGTGGTGGGTCCAGGATACCCATGAGTGGTCGCTCCTCACCATAACAGAGAGTTCCTGGCCTTGGCGTGGCAGAGAGGTAAAGACATGTGTAACCCAGTCTCCACACATAAGACCTGAAGAAAAGAGGCGGAGTTCTGCTTTTTCTCTTCCACAAAAGTTATCATCATTTCACCTGGGAGCTCTACCATAGCAGGAAAGAGCTGTCTTTTATGTTTCATTTTGCAAATCTTATTAAGCATTGTTTGTATGGGTTCAGTTCTTCCTCAGTGTCCTTTCTACTATTATCACTGAAGAGCCCAACTCTTTTCCTTTCTCTTAGTAATTTTATCTGTTCTCTGGTTGCATTTATAATCAATCTTTGACAGTGATGTGCAAATTTATAACTATAGACCAAACCTACCCTTGGACCCATTTATAAAACTGCCTAGCCTGCACTATTGTTGTTGAGTATCTTTAAGTTGATTCCAACTCATAGAGACCTTGTATAGGGTTTCTGTGGAGCAGATTGTGGGTTTGACATGCCACTATTGAGGTTAACTGTTTAGTTCTTGTCCTACAGACCCCAGACTTATTCTATAGTCCAGACCTTACCCTGTGTTTCCAGACAAGAAGCTATCGTAGATTGTTGGAAATCTTTCAGGGATCTCATGTGGCCTATCTAAGACATGACCTTCAGTTTCCACAACATCATCTAGTTACAAGAGTCAGTTATTTAAAAATTCTTGATACTCTTTCTTAGCTTCTGTATCCAGACAATCTCCAAATCTAATTATTTTTCTTGAACATCATCACATCCACTACTTTCATTTTTAACACATACACTGGTACCATAAGGTTCCTACTGGGTGACATGACACATGTAACTGGTATACGTCTATCTAAACCTAATCTTGACTACCAATATTTGTTCAGCCTTGTGTCCAGAGCTATAACTTTCATAGTTTATTTTGCAAGGTTTAAAAAGCAATAGAATATTGCATAACACATACAAAATTGAAAGAATTTACAGGGAACACCTATGTACCTATTATTTACTTTCTTCTGTTAATTTGATACTACATTTATTATTATCTTTTCATCCATCTATTTTTATTCATTTCAAAGTAATTTTCAAAGATCAGAACACTTCATAAATACATTAGTATGCCTATCAATTATTAGCATTCATCATATGTTACCAGTTTTTTCCCTTTTGAAGTAAAATTTTCAAACAAGGAATACATAAATCAGGTGTAAATTTGCTGGGTTTTGACCAATGCCAAGAGCTGTAACCTAAACCTCTATCAAGTCACATTATATGACAATCATCCTGTGAAGTTGCCTCCTGTCCCTTCCCATTAAACCCTTACCTCACTTCTCAATGGAATCACTCTTCAGATTTTTCCCATCAATTATCAGTTTCACATGATCTAGAATGTCATACAAATATAATGAATACAAGCATGCTTCATTTGTGTCTGACTTGTCTTCTTTCCCTTTGCATGATCCTTGAGATTCACTCATGTTGTATGTATCAGTTGTTCATCTCCTTTTAGTTTTGATTACAAAACTGTTAGTCAAAAATGCGATGCCACGTTTTATTTATCTATTTGTCTGTTGATGGACATTTATATTGATTTTAGCTTTTGAGTATTACAAATAAAGCTTTTGTAAACATTTGTGTCCATCACTTGTCTGTCAGTTTGTCTTACTGTGGAGTCTAGCATGTTGCTGTGATTCTGGAAGATATGCCACCAGTACCTTCACTCTTGAACAGTTGAAGAGGTCTTATGCAGCAGATTTGCCTAATTTAAAATGTTTAATTTCTTGACTGCTGTTTCCATGTGTGTTTGTGGATGTAAGCACATTGAAGTCTTTGACATCTTCAAGGTTTTTCTGCATTGGTAATGATGTTATTCATTGGTCCAGTTGTTAGAATTTTTGTCTTCTTTACATTGAGTTGCAATCCTTACTTATGGCTTTGATTTTTGATCTTCATCAGTAAGTACTTTAAGTCCTCTTCACTTTCAACAAGCAATATTTTATCATCTGCATATCACAGGTTGTTAATGAGTCTTCCTTTAATTCTGATACCACTTTCTTCTCCATACTATCCAGTTTTTGTTCAACATACAGATCAAATGAGTATGATGAAAACATGTCAACATGGCACCCACCTTTCCTGAATTTAAACCCTTCAATATCCCTTGTTTTCTTTGAATGACTGCCTCTTGGTGTATGTACAGGTTTCTCATTAGCACAACTAAGTTTACTGGAATATCCATTCTTCACAATGTTATCCATAGATTTCCATGATCCCCACAATCAAAAGCCTTTGCATAATCAATAAAGCCCAGGTAACTCTGCTTTCAGTTAGATCCATCTGACACCAGCAACGATATCCGTCATATCATGTCCTCTTCTGAATCTGGCTTCAAGTTCTGGCATTTTCCTCTTGATGTGGTATTGCAGTTGCTCTTGAATTATCTTCATCAACTTTTTCCTTGCATGTGATATTAATGATATTGTCCAAAGACACCACATTCTGCTTGGTCACCTCTCTTTGAATGGGAACACATATGGGTCTCTTTGAATAGGTTGGCCAAGTATCTCTCTTCTGAATTTAATTGGCATAGAGTCCAGTGCTGCATCAATTTTTTTTCTCAGTTAGAATGAAGTTTTAGTTCATGTCTGTATCATTCAGCAGTTGAACAATTAAATTCATCATTTGAACTGTAGCAATATCCTAAAATATCATACTTGACATCAGTTAAAACTTACCCAAGGAAGTGCGGATCATAGGATATGTCAATATGGTCATAGGATGTGTCAATACCTAAGGTCAAAACAACTGAACTATTACATTTTCATGCTTTCATCTTTCATACTGACTTGTAGTTTCTTCACACAAATCCAACAAATAGTTTTACGAGTAAAACTATGAGGCATTTCCAACAATGTGAGTCTACAGGAAAAACCCCATTGGGCTTTTGTTGTTGTTGTTTTTTATTAAAATGTTTTATTGTGAATTATGTGATAGTTAACATGGGAGAACATTAGTTTTACATTCATCCTATCAATATCTTTCATTGCCATGGTTACAATCCCCTCCATGTATCATCAACCAACCAAAGGGTATACCCTGCTTGTTATTTGTGTCTTCTCCCTCTTTTCTTTTGTTAGGTTTGCCAATGGTCTGTCACTTTTATTTATCCTTTCAAAGAACCAGCTTCTTGTCCTGTTGATTGTTTCTATAGTTTTCTGTTTTCTATCTTATTTATTTCTGCTCTAATCTTTATTATTTCTTTTCTTTTGGTGGGTGTAGGTTCCCTCTGTTGGTCTGCTTCTAATTGTTGTAGATGCTATATTTATGTGTTAATTTTGGTTCTTTCTTCTTTTTGGATGTGTGCATTTATTGCAATAAATTGTCCTCTCAGCACTGTTTTCATTGTGTCCCAAAGACTTTTGTATGTTGTGTTTTCGTTCTCATTTGTTTCTAGGAAATTTGTGAATTGATGCTTAATTTCTTCTACTACCCAGTCACTTTTCAACAAGGTGTTATTCAGTTTCCATGTATTTGACTTGATTTCCTTGGTCTTCCTATTG